TCATATTAGGGATGACTTAGTTCAAAACACTAAGACCTACCTATATTGGGAATAGATTAGTTCAAAACACTAAGTCCGACCCAATTTGGATTCAGGTATGGGTTAACCATAAAGGTTAAGTCCATCACCTACATGTGTCATATCAATTGTGAATTGAATGATCTACTATGGTTTCCGAATGGATTTATTATATAGATATCAGACCACTACACAGATGGTGATATTCTGTATTAGGAGGAGTACAGACTTTATATATTTATTATATGTGCCATGGTATGAGCCTGAGTCTCAGGACCATGGTTAGGGTGCGTATATCGCCTAGGATGGATAACTGGACAGTGGTTTTGTTTCCTGGTAGGTCTAGATACACATGACCACATTACGTGCGATTTGCATGGTATCTCTACTCAGGCTGAGACATACCTATTGGACTAGTGAGCGTCCTATAGTGTGTAATATATACATATATGGACTACTCTAGATATTGTTGAGTCTATCTAAGATGTATCTGCGTATCGGATTCCTATTTGGATCGTAGTAGATCAGGACTTGCATGTGGGCCTGACCCACTCCTTTATTTTTTAGGTGTTCGACAGTACCAGGCTGAGAGCTTGATCGTGTTAATGCAGATACAGACACTCACTCTTCCGGTTACATAGGATTTCCTTTCTATTTTAATTTTAGATTTAAATTTTGTAAATTTATTCAAGGATTTGGAATTAGGGGTCCACAAGGTGGATTCCCGAGTTGTACGTTTTGAAATTATACTTAATTTATTATTTCAAGTTTGAGGTTCTTATTTTAGATTTCATTCAGCGTATTATTAGTTTATTCTTAATTCAGTTTGTATTTTCTGCTTGTTTATATATTAATTGTTTGGTATCCCTCGGATCTGTGCTCGGATTTGATCACCCATGGCTCTAGAATCGAGGGGTATCACACTAGCTTATTTAATTTCGCCATTACAAGACCTTTTTTTTTTTTTTTTCATAAATACCATTGCAAGACCTTGTGCTTTGCCTATTCAATTGTGTCTCCATGTAGTATTTTATTTATGTGATTCGATATTAGGTTAGCCATGGTTGTTCTTGCTCCATTACAATTGTATTTCAATGTGATGATTTCATACTTAAAACTCTCTCTCGGACAAAATATATAGGGCTAATCGTCCTTTCTACTCCCATATGAAATTGTTCCACTCATTCTCTTATTCTACTTGACCAAATTCCTTTGGAAAAATTGACATTGATCATAGTAACCTGCCTAATATTTAACATTTTATTAATTATGTTTGGAAAGAGTGGAATGGAGTTTACCCAAACAAGAGAAAAATAATGTATTATTTGTTTACCTTCTCTCTATATATATAACCCACAAACCCTTATTTATATGCATATACATTATTTTGTAAATATATATATTATAATGTACAATGGCTCCGTCACTGTCGGTGCAGAAGTAGTTGTGTTAATGACCTAGAGGGAGGTGAATATGTGAACTTGGTTGATTTTTGTGATTGATTAAATTTCCCACAAAGATTAACAATTAAACATCCACGGACACAAAATATGAGCAACAAAGTAAATAAAATAAAGTTGAGCACAAAAATAAACAATTAAACATCGACGGAACAACATATGAAAAATAAAGTAAAGAAAATAAAGTTAAGTTTGAAGATGTCAATGGAATTTTTAGCTTGAAACTCCCGTGGTGAAAAACTTCCAACTAGGAAGAAAACCACATATACCTTTCTGTCCTTGGTGAAATTAATCCACTATCTCGAAGAAAAGTTCAAACTATGACTCGGCACGCCTCACACCTTCTCCAATTTATGAAGAAGTAATTGCTAAACGTCTTTGGCTTTGTCACTCATCATCCATACGCTTGACTTCAGGCTTATTCCTCAAACCTTGAAAACAGGTTGCTAGTAGAACACAAACACTCCTCAAATAATTTTGTTCCATTCATAGCGAATAATTCCCCTTTTGTACAATAATATATATGACGACTTAAGAAGGAGTTTTGTTGTTATGATCAACCTCAGTAATTTGAAGTAGACTTCTAAGATCTCGTTCATTATATGAAGTATATCATCCTAAATCACTCACGCGAAGACTTAAAAATTTTAAATGATGAATATAGCTTCTATTACAAACTAGTATAAAAATGTATCACTATAGTAGTGAAATTCATAATCAACGTCATATTTTAACGTGCAGGGCATGATTCTCATTTCTCCATTTTGTTGAGAAAAAAATAATAATAATAAATAAATGCAGACTTGTGGAGCCCACATGTCTTTTATAACATACAACAATTTACCTAGCAGTACGACTACAAACTTGAGAATCACAATGCCAAGAAAAGGCGGCATCTAAAATAACCTCAGATACTCATACTGATGATTGACTCTTCCTTGAGGATTAGATATAAATATGATCAGTAGTCTTGTGAAGCCATGCATATCCCAGAAGAGCAACAAAGATTAATCTTTTGCTGAAGAATAGCTAAAACCTTAAAAGGCAAAGGCAAACAACAAAACAGCAATGTTTCTTAACTTCATCTTCATGGTCTCTCTTCTTCTCACCATTTCCGTGGCCCAAAGCAGAACACTTGGTGGTAAGTTAGCTATCAATAATTTGAGGACTCTCTTTGTTATTGTTAGGAAGTGTGGAGTTTGATATTAGTGTAAGTCTTTGCATTATATGTTCTGTACCGTTTTTCAAAATAAATAAATAAATAAATAAAGTAACACTAATCTTTTATTGGTAAGAAGTGTGGAGCTTGATATTAGTGCAAGTCTTTGCCAAATTTTGCAGGGGATTTCAGAGGCTTGCCTCCACCCCCAAACCTTTTGGGTGTATTATTGTATTTTTCACTTGTTATGTAGCCCAAATTTTATACAATAGTAGTATAATTGGGAGTGATATATATATATATATATATATATATATATATATATATATATATATGTGTGTATTTATTTTGAACTCTCTATAATTATTTGCGATTTTTTATCTTAATAAAATCCCTGCAACATGGTAGACATTGCTTAGGTTTTGGATGAAGCACGTGAATAGTGTGTTCTTACTTGCATTTATGTTCTGCTTTTGTCTAAATTTTCGCAACAGTTATTAGCATAATAGTATAACAAATCAGAATGACTAGCATTATATGTTCAGAACGGTTTTTCAAACAAAAAATAAAAGTAACACTAATCTTTTATGTGGATTTGACATCGTTATCTTCTGTACTTGAATCTGCAGATGGGTTTGCAACGAAGAAATCCACTCCATAATGCATGTTGGTGTTCAGTGTAAGAAGTGGAGATACATGTGATGCCAAAACAAAGATGTACAACATGACTGCTGAGTTCTTTGGTTCCATAAATCCCAACCTGAATTGCGATAAACTGTTTGTGGGTTAGTAGCTTTGTGTTTCTGGGAAAGCTTAATTAAGACTTTCCATGCTAGAGGGAAACAAAAATAAGCACAACCTCACTTCAATGAAGCAAAGGATTAATATGTCGATGATTGAACTTCATGTGTCTCCATTTGGATCCAATTTTTTTAGCCATTTTTGTGAGATATATTTTTGTAAATTGGCATTAAATAAGTCCTTGTCGAGTTGTAATTTCAGTTACCATATCCGACTTGCCATCGACTGCGGAATTGGAAGTTTGTTCAGAAGAGGAAAGTATTGTTGATCATCAAAAAGAAAAGAACAACGTCGTTTTCCACTTAGGACACATTGATATGCATGGTATATTTACATAATTCCAAAAATATAGAATTTCCAAGTTCATATTCGATTCTGTCAAGTGGGAACCGGTACCAAGATTTGGAAACCGGTTCCAGAAGCTAATACTCGAGAAACAACTCTCTGTCAAGTGGGAACCAGTTCCACATGTCCTGATTGCAAAAGAAGTCCAGTTTTCTTGTTCTGTTTTATACCTTTTCAATCCAACTTTCCTTCTAAGTCCTATACATGAATTTTCTTTTATTTTCTAAAGGAATAGGACTTTGCAAACCTCTATATAAACCATGTCATATACATTGGTTTATTCATGGCTTTTGTTATATAGATTCATTATTTTTAAAAGCCTTAGGAAGATTATTTTTACAGAAAATCAGAGTTGATTTTTCTGTCATCTTTTTAGAACACATTCACATAAACACATAGTTAGTTTAGAGTTGTGGTGTTCAAATCCTGATCGTGATTATATAGTTCCATCTACAACGATCAGACAAAAGCAGATCTTCTTCTACATCATTCAGACGATTGAAGAACAGTACAAGAAAAGTGGGTTTTTACGACATCTTATTTACGGGGTTTCTTTATTTTGCCTCGTGAAAATTATTTTTGACGGGATTATGAGAGAATCCTTGTAATTGTTATATAAAAGGACATGTTTTCACGGGGATTTAACAAGATCCTCGTTCAAATTTTTTTTTTACGGGCATTCTTGTTCTACTTTAACAGGACAAATAATCCTTGCTAATAAGGTGTTATAATTTGATAGCCCAGTGGTTAGTGCCTCCGGTGAATTTTGGGAGTACCAGATTTTGACTCTTTGCACCTACTAATCTAATTTCTAATTCTTCTTGCCTTGTAAAAAAAAATAAAAAAAAGTTATAATTTGACATTTAAGGGATATTTTTCGTCCCGTGAATAAGTATAAATTTTTTTTTACGGCATTTTAAAGTCCTCGTAGATATTTGTGCTAAAATTTGATATTTAAAGAATATTTTTTTGTCCAGTAAATAAATAAAAAGACTTCTCCCAAATTTTTTACTCTCCCGCCAAATTGGGCACAATTAAAATTACACTTACAATTTTTTTTTTACGGTGTTTTAAAGTCATCATATTTTTGTCTTGTGAATAAGTAAAAAAAACTTTCCTCAAATTTGTTTACCCTCCCGGCAAATTGGACACAATTAAAATTACGCTTTTAAAAAATATATAGATAAATAAAAAACCTAATCACATTTCTCTTATTACCTGGGCTGAAACACTGTCGAAGAGGGGAGAGACAAATCAGAGGGGAGTGGCGACCAGCGACCAAGCGAAATTTCTTTCGAAGCACACCCACACAAAACACACAAGTCTGGATCGAAGTTCTCTTTTGAAGCAATACTGGACGAAATTTCTTTTCCCTCTTTCAATCAAACCTAACGTTTCTCTCCATGAGCCTCTTTCTGTTGGCTATCGATCGAAGCAAGCGGCAAGCCCTAAGCCCTAAATGATAACGCACGGCTTAGAGACGAAACCCTAAATCTGAAGATTGTGTTTGAATTTCTCTAACCTCTCTAGCCTTTTGTCTGATTGGTAAGCAACCCTTTTTGTCTGATTGGTAAGCAACCCTAACTTATCTCTGTTCAATTTACTACATCTTGATTTCTTTTTCACACATAAGTTGTACACACTGACACACAGTCACGCGCGCACACACATATGTATTTGTATGTGTGTGTATATATATTGAACTGAAAGTCTAAAATACACAGTCTGTCTCTAGGAAACGACATTTTTCTGAAGGAAGAGGAAACCCAGCTCTCTCTCTCCTCTCCTGGTATGTTTCACCCACAATCTCTCTCATTTATAAGAAATGTTTATAAATATATACTTACATGTATTAATTTCAGCAATATATGAATTTCAGTTCTAATTCATATTAAAGTAAATTTTGAGCAATTCCAAAATATTCTTTTTCTTGTAATATATTCATGAAAATTTAAGAAATTGATTAAATTGTTTTAAAATTTCTACTTATGTTTGAAAATTGAAAATTATATGCATACAATGGCTATGTGTGTGAATGGAATTGTACATGTTAGGAGATTGCAGGCACCAAAATTACACTGAAGTAATCTTTGTGGAGGAAAAGTCATATGTTTGTTTTCTTTTTCAAAGAAGCCATCATTACCATGACGCTGGAGGTCTATATATATAAACGTGTAGTGCATCAAGTTTATAGATGAATGAATGAAAAGAAACTCGCTCATCTTTCTTTGAAATCCTCTCTCATTTATCTATATTTTCTTTACACTTTTATAACAAATAAGGTTTTCTTTGTAAATATCCATTATAAAAGTATTTGTGCAGCAATTAACGGTTTACAACTGACTATTGCTTGGTTTGCTTTGTTGCCAGTGTGTAAGCTATATATTCTGATACCAATGCTGATAAATATTGTGGATCGTTACACCATGTTTTATCCCAATACCCTGACGGGGCTAGGGAGGATGCTTCAATTGCGTACGTGTAAGTTTTAATTTATCTATATATATGCATCCATGGTGGCTTTGATATGAATATGCTACGAGGGGTTTGTATCTGTTCACTTCTTTTTTTTGTTCTTTAATTTATCTAAATTATATAATTGGGTACAATGGTGAATAGTTTTGGCATGGCAATGTCAACTATCATGTATTTAAGCAATGAAGAAACAAAAGATATGAAGGTCATCTCGTGGGACAATGATGTTTGCATTGTATAGTTCACGGTGTAAAGCTCAAAATTTTAGATATTTAGCCATATCAAATTTGCATAGGAAGTTTGTTTTCCTAGGTCATAACAATAGAGTACTCTAAAGGGTGATGGTAAGACCCAATTATATATATTATTTTATTACCATTTTCATCTGTAGCTTAATATTATTTCAGCCATATATTAATTTCAGTTCTAATTTCATCAATAGCTTAGTTGGATTTTCCTTGCTAGCTATACTAGTCAATTAACATGAAAGCTAAACATTCTCTCTCTTTTTCCTTCAATTCCTCTGATCTTATTCTTTTGTTTTTAATCATTGACATGATTGAATGTTTTAAAGCTTCATTACTACTTGGTAACTAAATTCTTGGTGCTTGGAAATCATAGAGCAAAAAAAAAAAAAAAAAAAAAACAAAGGGTTTGTGCGAATCTTTGGTCAATAAAACCTATTAAAAGCACAATTTTAATATTTTCTATTATAGTTTTACAAATTAAGCAGTACACTCATTTTTTCATATGAGAACTTGAACTATCACCTTGTTTTTTAACCAAATATCTAACTATCACATCAAATTTCTATTTATGCCTAATTTGAAGTTGAGTGAAGCCTAAATATAAGTGTTTGAAATTAGAACAAGATTGATAACGGAAAACCTCAAATCAATTACTCCTACAAGTCCAAACATTGCATAACAAATGAGTCAACCAAGATGAAGTTAATTAATTCTTCTTCGTCGTCTTCTTCTTTTTTAAGACAAATTTTGTACCTATAATATAAACTGTGGAAGAATTATGATTTGGCCTAAATGAGAAATAACTTGACTTATCCTAGAAAAATACTTCATCAGGTTCAATGAGCAGTAACTGCTCATTCTAAAGAGCCTTTTCTGCCCAGTTTTAATGAGCTGCAACTACTCATTTTAAAGAGCAATTTCTGCTTATTTTAAGACTAATTTATATATATTATATCATTACACTTTCAAAATTGGAGGGCACTGGAACTTTGGCTCATTCAGTTGGCCTTTTAGACTACTATTTTTAAGGTGATGGTGGAGCACAAGAAGATGGTTTGGAGTTTCCACCAATGGTGAGCCAGGTAACTGGTGTTGCTGTTGCTGCTGAAGCTCTATCCAGCAGTAGTGCATACAACATCTACTCTTATTCTCTACCCAAAAAAAAAAAAAAAAAAAAAAAGACTTTTTAGGGGTTGTGCTAATTTTTTGTGTGGTAAGAACTCACTGTCTGCCAAAGATCTACAGAAACTAACAAACAAGTGCAGTATTAGGTTGGAGCAAGTGTATTCAGTACCATCTTTCATTTGATTTTTTTCTCAGTTTAGTGGTGTGTTTTTTTTAAACTTTTTTGGTAGAGTTGATGTAGTTCAAAGAGTATTTTGCCACAAAGTGATGGTTGTTGAGTGGTTTAATGCAATTTGGCCTAATGGAAATAAACATCCTATTAAAGTATATTAATATGGTGTTAACATACAAGTTATGTAGCTAACCCATTATATGTTGATGAATTTTAAGAAAGTAACTCATCAGATGCTTTCTACTAAGTTACTATTCTTACTATTCTTCCTTTGTTAATAACAATCATTTATCTAAACCATTTCATTTTTCTCTTAGGCTAGCGTATAAGTGTTTGTCATTCTCCTTATTTTTTAAATTCTGACATTGATATAGGATTCTGATACATATATTGTTAAAAAAACATTATAAATTTTCATTATCTAGATAAAAAAAATTTCTGATACATACATGTGAGATGTTGCATGATCCTTGATTATATATTGCTTGTGAGCTCAAAATCAAGTGTTTTGAATTGAATTTTGTTACAATGTAGATGGATGAACAAATATTTTATTGGGTTTCTTATAGATATAACTTTACATCTTGCTTTAGGTTATTGATTACTTCTTGTAGAAGTAGTCACTTATGATTGAATAAATCAGTGAGGAGTCATGGATAAAGGATGGATGCACCTTGGTGACAGGTTATTATAACTTAAATATCCTTACTTATAAAAGTTTAGACATTGTTCTTGTCATTATAAAAAATTTGAATGTTCAACTGTAGAGCTTCAAATGAGTATAAAACTGGAGCACAAAGTATGGATCACTGAAGTCATTGATGCCAGTGTGCCTTTGTATAGGCCTGAAGTTCGTTGGTTTGATTTGAAAGAGGCATATGTTATAAAGCGGCTACAATTGCATGCCTATCAAGTGCATCAAAATTTGTAAGTTATATGGCCTTTCTGTTCGATAATATTCTTTTATGATAGCACATTTTTAATGTTTTTTACTCATGCTCGAGGGGGTCACGTGCCTTTAAGTGACCAATTTTGCGATGTATAGGGGGTCACGTGCCTTAAGTTACCATTTATTATTATTATTATTGAGTATAAATGGAGGTCGGGAAATTGTTGTGGATAGAGTTTGGTTTTCATTCATCGCATTTCAAGTTTGGTTTACATTTATGATCAGTGTTTATTTTAGAATAAGCAACTCATCTGCAACCTCATTGTCTATATGAACTTTTAGTTGATTATAGATTTTGATTACAAAGAACTATTCACTAGCTTGTATCTAGTTAATGTGGGAATGGAGTTCAAAAATTATATTGAACTCACGATATGCTACCTTCTGTAAATACAAATTCAATAATGTGACAATTCTGAAAGTACCATCTTATATGTGTGTGACTGTGTGTGTGTGTGTATATATATATATATATATTATGTTTTTTTTTTTCTCTGGTTTGATGGGCTAAATCAATGCAAAATTAGGAATTTGTTACATCAACATCTATCAAAAAGGAAAGCAGCCCCAATTGGTGTACTTGGAGAAACAAGAGCTGGCCTTTACCATGTGCCAAACATGTTCTATTACCTACCCTTTTTTACTTGGTGAAAACCATTCTCGTATACACATTTTTATTTTATTTTTAAAAAAGGGGTTCAATTGGTGCAAGAAAGTGATGTTTTGACAGTAACAAATGTAGACAACTCATTGTTATGATTTGATAAATTAAAATCCCAAATCTCTTCTTAATTAGAAATATTAAAATTATCACTAATGTTTTAGTCTTAATTATGATTTGAGGAAACATTAATTGAGAGATGGTTTGACATTGTCGATTTTGGATGGTGACTTTGTACTTCTTAGTCAATTGATGGATGTTGACTTTGTACTTCTTAGTCAATTGATGGATGTTGACTTTGTACTTCTTAATTGATTGATTAGTAAATTTTTTTTATAGGTAAATTTACACACACTCACACACAACCCTGCCCATGCTTGAACCCTAAGAGGTGGTCACTCAAGCCAAAAAAGCAACAGTAATTAAGAAAATTTAGATGTGATATGTCCTTAACATTACAAGAATTAAATACTACCCAAACTAAATTAATGGTATATTTTAATGGCTCTGAAAATTTAAATGAAAATGAATGATCCTTCCTAAGCTAAAAATCTAACCAAATTAGCCCCTCAAGTCTTCCTTTTGAAAGTAAATTGGCTGCCTTTTGCACTCTAAAAAAATATTCATATACATAATCTAGCTTAAGACATATTTTGTCTAATAAAATAAAACCAAAATAAATAAAGAAATACATAAAAATAAAGAGAGGCCAACAACAAACACCTCGTTAAAAATCATTTTGATCATTGTTCAGTCTAAGTTCACATATTTTTCTAATGCTGATGCCAAGAAAAAGTAAGATATATTTCAGAAAGGAAATAGTTAGAGGAGCATTGCCGGGTGAAATTAGGAATGTCAGATAGAATACATATAGAATTTTCAGTAGCAACCTTTTCTGCAGCTTCTTTTGCTCCTCCCTTTTCAGCTTCCAAAGCTGCTGCTTTGTCTTCTTCACCTCTCTTCTTTTCAGCCTCAAGTCTTGCCTGCATCCAACAAACAAGAACTTAATAAAAGCATACTAGTGCATCATCATAGCAGTTTTCTTTAAATTCCAGCAAGTATATATGCCACGACTAGAATAAAGTGGCCAAGAAGGTATTAAGTTCCAGCAAGCCAATTATAGGTGGGTACAGTGGAATCGATCTAATAACTGACATATCAATCACTATCACAAAGCAACAAAGAAGCATGAGCACAGATAGTATGAATGCATTGCAGCTAACAAAGGCAAGAAAAAATTGCTATGCCCATGATATTTAGAGCAAAATTTTCTTCCACCATACATTGTTGGCATGCATGACTCTCTTATATTGGATTCATTGCCCTTAGGTTTGGTATTTAACAGCAGGATATAGGGGCATTTTCTGACAATTAATGTATGTGTTGTTAATGAAAGAGTTAAATGTGATTTTATTTAATAAATACAACCAATCTCCACACGTCAGTGTTTTGTTCCCTAGCCTTCAAAGAGGGCTAACCCTTAAGAAAATACTAAAAATGTTACTGGAAGTACATTACAAAGACAAGGGATTAATGTATAAATTAAAGGAATAAAGTATGGGAGAGAAAGGTCTTCAAGATTCCTTTAAGACTGTCTTGTTAAAAAAATTATATTATCTAATTAGTATATGTTTAATAGAAAGTGATAGTTTCATGGAGGGACAAGTTTTTGTCAAAATCAATGGATCATATGCTTATTTTCGGACTGTTCTGTTATGTGATTCTCTGTTGAAAACACAATCCAGTCATGGCAGGATTTGCAGCTAAGAGCAAATCAACACAATCTACTGCACTTGATTTTTTGAGGGTTTTTTTTTGCATGTGGTTAGTGTTTTTAGACTACATAGACCATTAGCAACCTAGTTAGGTGAAGCTTGATTATTTGTCTTGTGGGTAATTTATAGTAAAAAAAAACAAATAATATATTATTAATACACAAAACTTGTACACTGAGTGTAATTAGTCAGGTGATTCAAATATAACATGGATACCTGATCACTGAGTGTAATATAATCCTAAATTTTTGGTTCGATTGGGCTAGAATATGTATTCTCTTTATTTCATTATTATAAAGAGATTATGATATTGTTTGTTCTCATACATCCTTGCAAAAATCTAGTATTCAATTAAAGAAAATTATCTGCTTGAAATATTTTTGGCAGATCCGAGGAGGAAATTCTTAGCAAAATGTTTGTGTTTGATTCATAAATGATAATCTTGTTCTTTCCTTTTTTTTTTTATTAGCATTCTGAATTTGAGACTTGTGTGATGCAGCTACTTCCTTGGATTTTGTATAGTGAGGTGGTTTTTTGACAAGTGCAGACTGAAACTTAAGTGCTAGAAGGTTTATCAATTTTTCAACAGTAGTGTTAGGAAATTGATGATTTTCTTGACAAAATGGATTTACTTCATGTTTTGGAACATTGATAAATGTTGAATTGTTTTGGCACATTGATAAATGATGAATTGTAAAAATATTTTAACTTTTTTGATATGTTTAATAGGATATGTTTTTTTGAATTGCATTATAGCTGAAAGTGACCTGAATTACAGGTTGTGGATGATTGATTAACTGGCATTAATTAAGGATGCTTTATTTAAATATATATATATATATGTATATATTTTATTTACGGGGAGCTTGAAACCTCGTAAATAAAAGGCCGTATATTAGTGAAAATCCTCGTAAATAACTTTTCTACGGCATACATGGCACTTCGTGAGAATGGTTTATATTATTTACGGGCAGTTAAAATTCGCCGTAGAAAACTTTTCTATGGCATGCGTTAGTGCCTCATGAGATTATTTACGGGTAGTTAAAATTCGCCGTAGAAAACTTTTCTACGACAAGTATTGTTGCCTCCTGAGATTATTTATGGGTAATTACAATTCGCCGTAGAAAAATTTTTTACGACATGCGTCGGTGCCTCGTAAGTTACTTATTAACGGGAAAATATCCATGTTGTAAATAAATTTAATATATAGACAAATTTGTTTTCTATGGCGAATCTATTATTTTTCTACGAGATAGAAATTTTCCCGTAAAAAAAATTAAGTATTACGGAACCCTCATACACAAGGGCCTACAATGCGCCGTTAATAAGTTTTCATAGCGTTTTTGGCCCCTCGTAGAGGCCCTTTTTTCTTGTAGTGACAGAAATAAAAGCAATCACACTTTAAAAGGGTTGGAGCATTCAAGGAGTGTTATCTAATCTACCTGTTACTCTTCTACAAATATCAAGCATAAGCCTGAGGTCAAGTTGTTGTTGGACGGGGAGTCACAAAGTCAGAAGATTGTCAACAGTTGGTATTTGGTAGAACGATATGGTGTGAGCCAGAGTTAAAGTTCGGTATACTTTGTTTCAAGCATAATGAATTGGTTTACTTTGGACTGCACAGTCTACGAGGTTTTTCCCAAAACAGTTGATGTATTTTATCAACTGGGGTTTCCTCGCTAAAATCCTGGTGTCATCTCGAACTTTATACTTTGCTTTATTTTATCTGCGCGTGATTAATTGTTTAATTGCTGAAATAAGTAAAGTTGGTAACGACACATATCTGTTTTAAAACAAACAAAACTTTTAAAGTATTTTCCGCTGCGTACGACTCACAATTTGGTATCAGAGCAAATCTCTACACATTAAATTGATCCTTGCTGGAAAGTTTTTTTTGGTGTTCAAAAATTGTTTTCAAAATCATGTCAACGTGGTCCTTTATTTGAAGGAGATAATTACATTTTTGGAAATCAAAGATGAGAGCCTATTTGCAAAATTCTGGTGGTAAAACTTGGGCAATTGTTGAATTTGGCTATAAACCTCCTACAGTAGATATAACTGTGGATGGTAAAATAGTCAAAGAGTTAAAAGATACTTTTGCTTTTATTGCTATTGAAACTGAGCGTAATGATGTTAATGGCAAAGCTTTATATTCAATTATTAATTTTATTATTCCATCTGAATATGATAGAATTTCTGATTATAAAACTGCTAAAGAAGCTTAGGATATTTTGCAGGTTACTCATGAAGGAACTTCTAAAGTGAAGTTGTCCAAAATTCAGTCACTTTCTAATAAATTTGGGAATATTGTGATGAAAGAAGATGAAACTTTTTCTGATTTCTATTCTAGTCTTCTTGAAATAATTTTTGAACCACATCACTTAGGTAAAAAAGTTAGTGATAAGAAAATCTGTGAGAAAATCTTAAGGTCTTTACCTAAAAGATTTCAGATTAGAGTTGAAACAATCACTGAACATTGGGATTTGTTTACCAGTAAAGTAGATGAGATGGTAGGTTCATTGAAAACTTTTGAGATGCAAAATTTTGATTTAGATCAAAAGGAGAAAAATTTTGCTTTAAAATCTACACAGGTTGAGAATTCTGTGGATGACAACTCTGATGATGATCTTACATTCTTGTCAAGGCAATACAGTCAGATTTTGCAAAGGCAACAGAGGAGTAGGAATAAGAACATAGCTAATCCTAAAATTTTTGACAAAACATTAAAGTTTAGGTTTAATGAAAAGAAAGCAGAAGAATCAAAATAAACTGAATTCATTTGCTAGAATTGTGGTGGCAAAGGTCATGCATCCAATGTTTGTCTTAGTTCTAGGAAAGAACAAAAGGATAGGAATAAAAGAAAAGCAATGAAAGTTTATATGTCTGAAAATTTTATTTTGTGTGATAGTGATTCTCCTCTGAATGATACTAATGATTTTTCTTATGTCGCTTTTCTTGATAGAGGTCCTCATGTCATGTCTTTGTCTGACTTTGATATTTTAAATAACGAAGACAACGAGTTTCATAATGAACAGGTACAAGAGGCTGAAAAAGACGATGAAAAGTTAAAGAAGATAGTCAAAGAAACCATTGAATTCAAACAGATAATCAATAAGTTAGCAAAGGAGCTTATCCAAGCAAAATGAGAGAATGAAGATCTAAAGAAACAAATTAATGAAGGGAAAAGAAAAGCTTTTGGGAGCGATTTTGTCATCACCGAGCTTGAGAAGAAGATCATCATTCTTGAGGAAAAGGTAAGTATTGCTAACTCATTAAAGGAATGTCTTGCTTTGAAAAATGATTATCTTGAAATTGAATTGAAATCTGAAAAAGATAAACTGAAAGGGTTTAATATGAGTCAAAATAGTTTAAATAAGATAATCAACATGGGTGAGGATGTGAATGATAAAATAGGGTTAGGATTTGCTAAAGATTCTGCTAGTAATCAAGGTAAAATAACTTTTGTTAAACCTACAATTATGCCTAAACCATGTTTACCTGATGCATCACATTCTGATATGTCTTATGTGCCTAAATTGTTGTATTGCACTTTTTGTGGAAAAAATAGACATAAGTATAACTCATGTCTTCATAAGAAAAAGAAAGACTTTTGTTGAAAATCATTCTAAAAATTCTCATACTAAGAAAAAGCTGCATTCTAGGAAGAAAAAGAATGATGTGTCACCTTAGATTTCTAAAGCTGAAAATTTGCCTAAGAAAGGGGTAAAGAAAGAAAAAGAATTTCAAGAAATGAGAGTGAGAACAGTTTGGATCAAAAAGTTTGATTTGATTAATTATGTGCCTGTTGAGTCCATGGAACATGTTTCCAAAAGGACTTCACTTTCAAACTGAGTCCTATGAAATTTAGTGATCATGGCTTGTGTTTAAAAGTAAAATTTTGTTGCCATTGGATCACTTGTTAGGGTTTGGTTAGGGTTTTGAGTTTCTAATCATAGTCTTCATGATATATTTGAGAAAATTCTTCTATTAAATTTATGATCTATCTTTGAATGCAAACTTAGACACATGATTTTTGATTAAAAATAAATTCTTGGTTTGTATTCTATACAATGAAAGTTCATTTGTATTGATTAAGGGATGTTTAGATTTAAATCTCTTAAGTTCATAACCTTTTGTGTACTAGTCCAAATCTAAAAAATTTGATTGAAAATCTTTGAATTGTTGACTAGGGTATATTGATCATAAAAGATATAAAGATTACTGTCTTAAAAAAAATAGGAGCTTGATAAAAAATAATAAAAAAATGAATAAATTCAGCTTAAAAAAAAAAAGAAAAAAAAAGGCTACATATTGAGATGTGTTTGAAAGCTCTCATTAAACTTTGAAGTGGAGCTAAATGAGTAAAAAAAAAGGTGGAGACAAGTTGAATTGGGGAATTGCTATCTGCTCTTTAGAGTGAAAGCCACCTTACTTAGAAAAATTTCTCAAAGACAATTTTATCTTGATACTTTTCGATCAATATGGTTTGGACAATGATTTATTGATGATTGATTGAAAATTGATGAGATGGATTGCACACACACACTTGAACTTGCTAGATTGATTTCTAACTGTTTTATTAATATTTGCAAGTTAAAATTCATGTGGTGATTATTTCCTGAGAATTGAAATTGATTGACTATTCTGTGGAGTTGAAGTTTTCGTTCATAGATATCTCTGCTAATTGTTTGGAAAATTTGAATCAGGTGTGGAGTTGGATGACTTTGATTGACTGCTCAATGATTTGTTTTTATTTTTTGTTTTTGTTTTAAAATTAAAAATAAAAAAATAAAAAAATTCAAAAATTCAAAAATTATAAAAATTCAAAAATTATAAAAATTCAAAAAGATCTTTTTTTTTTTTTTTTTTTTTTTTTTTCTCTTCAGTTGGTTTGATCAGTGAGTGAATCACAAAGTTAAAGGAAAATTTTCAGAAAAATTTCAAGTGTAAAAAGTCATATTGTCTCTTTCCTACCGGTTCCCCATGGCTCCTACCTATTCACAGTTAAAAAGTTCAAGGCTCAAGTCTCTGGAGCTTGGCTACCAGTACCACACGTTTGGTATCAGTTCCAAAGTGGTCCTCGCTTTGTATAGACTCACTGCCCAGTAGGAACCGGTTCCCACTTTGGCTACCGGTTCCTGACAGCGAGTATTGGCATACATAAAACCTATTTGACATGTTGGGTATTGTTGCAAAAACCCATTTTCTCTCTCTATATTCACACACACTCTCTAAATTGCTCACATATATATCTTCATATATTTTGTTTAATCTTGCATCATACTCATCTTATATTTGTAAGTTAAACATGGAATCATTCACATGATCTTGAGAGTTGAAGATTGAAGGTTAAGATTGAAGTTTGAAGAGAATTTGTGGAGTTTCGGGTTTTGCAAATTTTTAGAGGATTTGGTTAAGATTGTTGATGATGTAAAGTTTTTGACTTGATCTATATATATATATATTTAGGTTAAAAGAATTTTTTTTATTTAGCTGTGGGACCCACTTTATTTTATGTTATCATGTGCCAAATGGGATTACAGACCCATTTTTTCTGTTCCTCTTCTCTCTCCCCGCTGCCTTTCTTCCTCTCTGTATTTCTTTTTTTCTTTTTCTTTTATAACTTCCACTCTTGATTTCTTCCTTAATCCTTGGTATATTTGAGAGCCGTTTGAGGCAAAACGAAGCCCACAACGAGCTCTACGCGCTAGTGTAAGCAATTTCAGATTTGGTCTTCCTAGGGACTTCGAATTTAAAGACCCATTTTAAGGGTTTTGGCTCACTTTTGAGGTAGGGACACCTTAATCCACTACTTTCTTGTTCCATTGTGAGTATACTCTTTTGTTGTGCCAAGCATGCTTAATTAGAAGTTAATTGTATTAATGATTATTTTAAATGAATGTTGTCTAGAGAAATTCATGTGTATGAATGTGAGTTGTTTTATGTCTAAAGCATGCTTAAATGTATTTTGTTGTATCTTAATGTGTTAATAATTACTTGGGAGATGTTGAACATGTTGAATGTTTAATTTTATGGTGTAGAATTTTAAATGCCATGGCATTGAATGTATGGAACATATATACATGCACATACCATTGGTTTGCATGAAATGAGAGAAATTGTTCTTGAAATAAATATGGGGAATTTCAGGGAAGTGTTTTTGATGAAATGGTTTTATGTGAAACCCGGTCGCTGCGGGGTTACCAATGGGCCGGAGGTTAATATAGCCTAGAGGGGACTAGGGAGTCGCCCTAGCGTGGTTGAGCTAGCTGGGCCCCATAATGACGCCGCGAGGTTACCAAGGGTCAGGGACACTAGCCAATCCTCCTCTCGTGTCGCGGCGGGGCTACCAAAGGGCGGGCTGTATTAACAGTTTGGACACGATGTTTTGGATTATGAAAATGGGGAGCGACACTAGCATGCATTGCATCTTATACCATTGTATTGGATATACTTGAGATTGAATCGTTATGCTGTATTATTTCCCGACATTGTATGATCCCCATTTCCCATTGGCCTATGCTTTGTTTGGATTCACAAGGACACAAGATGTGTGTCTTAAGTGTCACCTGCTGAGCTTTATGCTCATCCTACTATTTATATTATTTTTTTCAGGTCTTAAAAATGAACTGGTGGACGACAATCCACCTCAAGCTTGAAAGTTGTTAGAAGGTTGTTTACTATTTTGTATTTTGACCGTTCTATGTATATTCGTAGTTGTGGAAATGTAACTAAGTTAGTATTCATGGCCTTGTAACTTAAGAACGAACTTATCTTTTGTTTGATGTAAATGAAACTAATGGAATTATGGTATATGTTTCCATGCAATTGTATCATGTAACGTTGTAAGACAGAGACTTTAAATCTTAACCATGTATTTTGGGACTGTAATTATGATAATTTAGATTAATTGGTGTGTGGATGTTCCGCCATAAGAGGAACTATGTTGAGGTATAATGAACGGATGAATGAGATGCTAGATGATATTATGTGTTTTGTGTATTGAGACATGTTGTTGAAGGCCCATTTTCAGGGGAGGTTAAGCCAAATTTTTTTTTTTTTTTTAAATTTTGGCATCACTTAGGGTCGTTACAGATGACTCTTGGAAATTTAACATTGAGGACATTGAGATTGATATTATATTTGATGTGTTGATTGTTTGGGGGTTTTGAGTAATCAAATCAAGCTTGTCCAAGAACAAATTGTGAAGCGCATTCCAGGTGTTCGACAAAATTACCAAGTGAAGGTCGGGGCTTCAAACCAAAAATTTTCGAACATAAGATGCCTCCAAAACTGTCTCAAAAAGCCAAAGGGAAAGGTATTGCATCACCTCCACCTATAAAGAAAGCCCGAACAACGCTTTCTATTCGGGAACCGCAAGAGGGTTCAAATGTTCCAAGGGATGAACCGTCTTCGCCTAGCTTTCCTACCACTGAGATACCATCTGGGTATCCATCAGTTTTTGACATTGTGAAGGTTCAGTTTACTTCAGAACACTTCTACAACGACCATACTTGGCAAGTATACAATAAAGTGTATAAGAACGGTCCGATAAAGTTGGAACGAAATGTGAACTTGAAGAAGTTAAGAGATAGTCCGGGAAAGAAATTAGTTGATTATATTGAGAAGCATAAGTGGTTATTCTTTACCACTATGGCGAATTCCTACAGTCCCGATCTCTTTCACTATTTCTACTCGAATATCCGCAAGGTTCATGATTCTGGATATTTTGAGGTTTCATTATTCGAGAAGGATTATGTTATTCATACAGATGCGATAGGCAAAGTTCTTGGTATTCTCAAGAATTTTTCTATCACAGGATATCGTCTTCCACTTGATCACTCCGGGCTCAAGTGGGAAGATATTTGTAATGAATTGTGTATTCCGGATTCACTAAGGTTTTCCGACTACATTCCAAATCGCTATCTTATAGATGAGGCAGCTTTTCTCAATTTGTTTGCGATTTCCAACCTTGGCTACTTCGGGAAGAATGATGTTTTTTCTGTAGATCGTGCCGAGGTACTTTATCTCTTATCCATTGATGCTATGATTCATCTTGATTCTTCTATCTATGGACTGATGGTGGCGCACTACAAGAATAATACCAAGAAGAAATCATCTCCATTCCCTATGATTATTATGGCATTATATCGGCATTTTGAGATTCCACTTCCACTACGTGCTCATCATATAGAGATCATGGCTGAGATGGATGTGAGGGCTTTTAACAAGGCCAAATCTGCAAGAGCTTCCTCTAGGAAAGCTAGCACGGGTGCAGCTGCATCTTCATCATCTCTTCTTGAGGTTAGTACGCTTTTCCCAACTAAGCAGACGTTTAACACTCTGGATGCCAATTTGCTCTATTCATTGATTCTTCAGAATCAAAAAGCCCTGATGAATGCTGTTCTTGATTTTCAAGAGGATGTTAGGTTGCTTAAGGAGCAGAGGACGGGTGGTACTTTTGAGGATGTATATAGACCAACCCCTCCAAATCCGTCACTTGTGGCTGAGGATAATAGAGATGAGGATGACGAGTCAGATAATGATGCAGAGGATGATGACAGTAGGAGTGACACTGATGGTGGTGATGAGGATATTCCAACATCTACCATTCCATGCGCTAGAGATGATCCTGATGCTTGATTTTATATTCATATCATTCATGCATCATTTTTTTTATCAGTTTTTACATTGTCATAACTTGATATTTTTGGATATTTTATTTTGGTCTTTGACAAGTATTAAACTGATTTATGTTTTCTCAGTTTTAGTTTTATTTCTCTCTGGTTATTTTGCTATTACTTTGTCAATTTTGTTCCAAAAAGGGGGAGATAACAAGGTTACATTAAGGGGGAGAAAAATATAATTTTTTGGATAATTTATTCAGGGGGAGTTTTAAACTTATTTTATTAAACTTTCACTGGTAGTTTTGCTTGAACTATATGTAGGAATTCAGATAAAAGTTTGTCCAAAAGGTGAAGTGAATAGAAATAAAATATTTCCGTGGTTCCTTAAATGTTTGTAATTTATTTTTCTGTTTTGGGTAGATTATGAATTGTTTTTAAGGTTTTGTCACGAAATTGCCAAAGGGGGAGATTGTGACATATATTTTTGTAAATTGGCATATTTCGGTAACAAAACAAGTCCTAGTCGAGTTGTAATTTCAGTTAACATATCTGACTTGACATCGACTACGGAATTGGAAGTTTGTTCAGAAGAGGAAAGTACTATTGATCATCAAAAAGGAAATAACAACGTCGTTTCCCACTTAATTAGGACACATTGATATACATGGTATATTTATAGAGTTCCAAAAATACAGAATTTCAAAGTTTATATTGGATTCTGTCAAGTGGGAACCGATACCAAGATTTAGGAACCGATTCCAGAAGCTAATACTCTAGAAACAACTTTCTATCAAGTGGGAACCGATACCAAGATTGGGAATCGGTTCCACATGTCCTGATTACAAAAGAAGTCCAGTTTCCTTATTCTTCTTTATACATTTTCAATCTAACTTTCCTTCTAAGTCCTATGTACGAATTTTCTTTATTTTCTAAAGGAATAGGACTTTGCAAACCTCTATATGAACCATGTCATATACATTGGTTTATTCACGGCTTTTGTTATATAGATTCATTATTTTTAAAAGACTTAGGAAGATTATTTTAGCAGAATATCAGAGTTGATTTTTGTCATCTTTTTAGAACACATACACATAAAGACATAGTGAGATTAGAGTTGTAGTGTTCAAATCCTGATCGTGATCATATAGTTACATCTACAACAATCAGACAAAAGTAGATCTTCTTCTACATCATTCAGACGATTGAAGAATAGAAGCAAAAGTAATCACACTTTGAAAGGGTTGGAGCATTCAAGAGTGTTGTCTAATCTACCTGCTACTTTTTTACAAATATCAAGCACAAGCCTGAGGTCAAGTTACTGTTGGACAGGGAATCGCAAAGCCAGAGGATTGTCAGCTGTTGGTATTTGGTAGAATGATAGGGTGTGAGCCAGAGTTAAAGTTCGGTATACTTTGTTTCAAGTATAGTAGATTGGTTTACTTTGGACTGCACAGTCACGAGGTTTTTCCCATAACAATTGATATATTTTATCAACTGGGTTTCCTCGCTAAAATCCTGGTGTCATCTCTAACTTTATACTTTGCTTTATTTTATTTGCATGTGATTAATTTATTTAATTGCTAAAATAAGTAAAGTTGGTAATGACACAGATCTGTTTTAAAACAAACAAAACTTTCTAAGTATTTTCTTCTGCGTACGACTCACAATTTTTTCCTGGCATTGTTTTAAAATTTAATCTATAAATTTGTAGTGAAGCTAAATATCAAATTTGCTTGGATTTCAGTGTCTATTAATTTCTTAAGAAATTAATCTCATAAAATTCAGAATATGTTTCATTTTACAAAAAAAAAATGGTTAAATTGCACTCACACAGCCAATGTTTGGGTTAAAGACTACTATTTCCAACTTGCGCACTATTTAGATAGTAACGCCCCCCAGGTTTGCCAAATTGAACAAGCACATCCCCAATTACTTCTAAAGCAATATGAAGTTTCTAAGTTGTACCTCAATAGAAATATTATATTGACTGAAGAGAAGAAAATAAAACAGTATATTGAATCAAGGGTAGTTTGGCCATTTTGTTGAGCTGATATTTTGGTCCAAAATATAATATTTTTATTGAGGGGCAACTTAGACATTTCATATTGTTTTAGAGGTGGTTGGGGTGTGATTGTTCAATTTGGCAAATATGGGGTGTCATTGTCCAAATAATGCACAAATTATAGGGATAAAGAGGATATCTTTCTACTACTCTTTCAAAAACTAATCTAAAAACTAATATTAAGACACATCATTTTCCACATCTCCCTTTTCCTCTTTCTCTATCCTCTCAACCTCTCTATCTAAATCTTAGATACCAAAACCAAACTATTCTCTTCATTTTTCAAACGTAATATATACACACACGGGCACGGACAGAGGCAGTTAAGGACCCGGGGGCATATGCCCCCTAGATTTTCTCCCTTTTTTATATTCTATATATTATGAAAATATGGAAAATCCACCCCCCCCGCCCCCCCCCCCCCTCCCCCCAAATTTTCTCATTCTTAATAAAATTCTATATATGTTTCATATTTTTTTCTCCTAAATTGTTTTGTTAATACTTATATTCTATACCTGTAAATTAATTTAATTCTAAAAATATCACAATCTCTTTCATATATATACATATTACAGTATTTTATACCATAACATATATTTACAATATAATATACATGCATATATATATGCATGTATATTATATTGTAAATATATGTTATGGTATAAAATACTGTAATGTGTCCCCCGTGGAAATTTTTTGGACTCTATCACTGCACATGGATAAATAAAAGAAAAAATTGATTAATTTTGAAAACAAAATAAATAAATAAATAATGAATGGAGTTAACAACGATATTGATATTGATTAACTTCCTCACTCCTCTGAAACGCGTCTCTTCATCTTCGTTATTGGAGTTGGGACTGGAATGAACTAAGATGGTTGTACAGAGAGTGATCTAAGATTGTCATGGTCGGTCGGTTGCGACGCCATGACCTTTGCCAAATCTAAAACCTTAACTAATTATCAAATTATCAGAGAGACCCAATGGATTCCTAGATTGATTTCTTGGTTTATTAATTAATTTGTTCTGATTTTTTTTTTTTTTAACTCAACATATATTTATGATTATTCCCAGGTGAATTGAGCAAAACCTAAAACCTCAATTGTTGGTTTTGAAGATGAAACAAAATCAAGAGCAATATCTAAAGAAAGTACAAATATCCACTGTTAATATAAGCATGGATGAGGTTACAACTACAAATGCATTTACCAGAATAACAAGAATCCTTCATGCCTGAGTAATCAAGTAAGGCGCCGACAAGTGGCCAAACATGGTGATTGCGTGGTTCGATTCAAGTCGGAGATAGAAAGTTTACGATTTGAGAGAAATAGTAGGTTGTAGGTAGGTTAATTACAAGAAAGTTACTAAAAAGGGAAGAGAAAAATTTGGACTTGCATCTAAGATTTTAAGAAAGAGATTGAGGAGAGAGAAAAAGAGGGAGAGAGAGATGTGGGGAATGATGTGTCTTAATATTAGTCTTCAGATTAGTTTTGAAGAGAGCAGGAGAGAGATGTGCCAAGGAGAGGATCCATATCCCAAGTTGTAGATACTTATCTATAACACAAATTAACTTGTGTATTAATGCAATTTTCCATACTAATATTGTTATTTCTTAGAATATTTCATAGACAATGAGACAAATGGGGAAATTATGTTAGATTATAAAAGTACTATATATTCCTTACCTATGATTAGGGTTTGCATATCTACACCTACACCTACCCAGTTACCATGTATACCTCCACATACCTAGTTACCATGTATAGATGACTTGATCATCATTCACCTACCCCAAATCTTCTTCTATATATATAGGTCCTTCATGTATACAATTCAATACAATATCATAGGTATTCTTTTTCAGTATTTATATGATAAACTCTTTGTACAACTTATTTGTGGTAAACTAGTATATATTTTGTTCATAATAAACTTTGAGTTCTAAATATCTTTACTTATCGACAAATTGTCTTGCAATACCTACCTAGTTAGGTTTAGTTTTTAGAAATTTACCTTTCTTTTTTAGTTATTGAAATTTACTTTTCGTATAGTTAACTCTTCTAGACATTTCAATCTCAAAATCATTTGCTTCAAGGGCATAAAAGAATCTTTGAGACTGGTCATTTCATGCGCTTTCACGATCACTTGAACCCTAATCTAGATTCCAACAATATTTATAATATTGTAGCCTCTTTTATTTGAATTCTATAGATGTGGTAAAACCACGTCACCTAGTCAAATTTAGGTGGCCCCCCACGACATCATTACTCCAACAGGAAAGACAAAATCACACAATTAAGTACAAGAGAGGGTCGAGGAGTATAGCGACCCAACCACGAATCGTCGGTCAACAGGCTTAGAACCTCGATCTGACCCGACCACAAAACATTGATCGACGGGGCTAGAACCTCGATCCGACTCGCGAATCGTCGATCGATAGGCTTAGAATCTCGATCCAACCTGACCATAAATTATCAATCGACGAGCCTAGAACCTCGATCCGACCCGACCACGAATCATCGATCGACGGGCCAAGAACCTTGATCTAACCCGATCACGAATCATTGATTGACGATCATGAATCATCAATCAACGGGCCTAGAACCTTGACCCAATCTAACCAGAATGAAGAGTAAATGGTAGGACTACTTCGTTGTCAAGGGGATACAGAAGGGAATTTGGAATGGAAGAAAGAAAACTTGTCAAATCTTGTAAAGACAAAACCCAATTCGAGGACCAGAGTGAGAGATAGCCGGAGTAAATATTGCTGCCGTTGCATAATCCTACTTGAGTCATTTAAAGATGAGCGTTACACTTATTAAATGGGTCCTGAAGGATAGGATAAGGGCAGTGTGATCTTTATGATTACGCAGGCCCTACCCTATTTAGAAGGAGGCCTAATAAGTGCCTCTTAAATGACCTGAGGCTATAAAAAGAAGGACTAGGAAAAGATTAAAAGGCAAGCTATTTTAGATCATACACGGCAGGCATCATCTTTCCTACCGTCACTCCAATCCTCGCTTTGGGCTAGTTTTCTCTCCCTTCCTCAGCTCTTCTGCTTTCCTCACATTGTTTTAAGTGATATATCCTAGATTCTCTTGACTTTACAACTGTATTGAAGAAACAGGTATCTACATTTGGTGACTTCACTGAGGATATCCTAGCAAGAAGATGAATCTAGAAGAAATTCATCCCCCAACAGCACTGGCAGAGGTATTTGCCATTAAAGCCACCGGCACTAGAGCTACCAGCGTTAGAGCCACTAATACCAGATCTCGCTCCTCAAGGTCGAGGCATAGATCTAGCATTGATGCCATCTTAGAGACGATACAAAGCATCAACCATCAATTGATGACCCCAATGAAGAATTTTGAGGAAGCCCTTCACGCTCTTGATAAAAGGGTTCCAACTGCACCAACTATAGACAAAGCAACATTAATCTCACCTAATCAAATGGCGCTCGATGCCACTACCCCAGCTGGCGCACATCTCCTTCCATAGAATGAGCAGCCGGTCATGACACAATCACCAACTGGTCAAGTTGACAACACGGACCCACCTTTGCAACCTACTCCATAACCTACTCCAGAACCTTACAACCCCACACTACAGGTAACTCCTGGAGTTCCTCACACTTTCCCTCCTAGGGGAAAGGAATCTCTATTTTATTCCCCACCCACCTATGCACAAGCCAACCCTAAAACACCACTCACTTTCCCTTCTCATTCTTACTCTGCCCCAAAAAAAGTCTTTACACGTTCAGAAGTTCACGATCTGTTCAAAAGAAGTACCCCAACCTCTAGGGCTTTGGATTTTGGCAGTAAACCACCCTACCCTCGGGCTATCACACAGACCCCTTACCCACTGGGATATTTGGTCCCTAAGTTTCCAAAGTTCAATGGCAAAACGGGTGATCCACGAGAACTTATCATGCGTTTCATTGAAGCCTTAGGACATTTCGGTGACAATCATATGGTCTGCCTTCGAGAATTTTCCAAAATCCTTAACAGATTGTGCATACTGTTGGTATTTCAATCTTGAGCCTGACTCAATCAGCATTTGGGAGCAATTGAAGGATCATTTCCTTACTAAATTCTTTCAAGCCGAAGAACGTGTTACCACTCTCTCTAACTCCAAAGAAACCCAAAACGATAATGAGGATGTTCCCACCTTTATTAGCCGCTTTGGGGATCGAGCAGGTGAATGTTTTGAAAGCAGCAATGAGATGGATTTGGTTGATATTTGTATTCAGGGCATGCTACAAGTCTATAAGCTTCATCTCATCAATCTCAAGATCGTCAGCTTCGGCGAACTCAAAATTGCTGCCAGAAATCTCAAAGACCTCAAGCCCGTCACTGCTACGTA